TATTTTGTATGACCTTGTTAAATTGGCTTAACGACTATATTAAGGTGTTATACAAAATCTAAATACTGTACAAACAAATTTGCTTAGATAGATAAGAAGTTAATAGAGATAAAAATCAGTAGTCAAACTCAGAAATCCATTAAAAAAATACAGATTCTTTAGCAGAACAAACATGAAAGATGGGATTAGGGTGCCATGAAGAAGTAAGCATCCCCAGCTGATTGTTCACGACTGCTTTCTTCATATTAGAAGGAAAAGAATATAACGAGAAAAAAATTAATCAATAACGATAAATAATCTGATTTTCCGAAGCTTTGTATACGCGGATGTATATTTGGGAGTCCTTAACATAGCTGCCACTAAACTACTACAGATCTTCCAATGATATGTTATATTCAAATATGAATATAAATTAAAAGAATAAAAAAAGAAACATTCTTTTCCGGACATAAAAAAATGAATAATGGTGTTGTGTTTTTAATGATTGATTAAATATTTACTTTCCATTTTCATTGGACAGTCTAGAACTTTTATGTATAAAAGATTAGGTGTTTTGGGAAAACATCATAGCATTACCTTTTATTCATTACATAGTACTGGTTTAATTAAATAAACAAAATATAGGTCGGTAATTGAGCTTTACTATCAAATCGTAAATTTGATTATTTTTTTTACCACTTAGTACATGTTTAAAAAAAATCGAAAAATTGTGTCGAAGCTACTTACCGAATGAACATGAAACCAGCATAATGATTGGTGGCAAAAAAATTTCCATGACACTCGGAACTTCTCTTGTATTGTTTCCTGTCATAACTATCGCAAGAAAAACAAAGCTTTGATATATTAAAAAAAGTAGCCGATATTTCGAAATGTACTTCAAGTTTGATTCCCAGGAAACATATCTTTCTTTAAAATTGATTATTTGTTATATTGGTATATTCTTCCACGGCAATTGAAAGTAAATCTACACGAACCATCAAAATTTCATCACAACAATCTAGTGAGAATTTCCTACGTACATCGATGAAAGTTAATTATATGATTCCACAATATCAAAGAACATCTTGCCTCATGCACTTCCTACTAAAAAGAGCCGGCTTTAAAAAAATATGTCTCGAACTTAACTGTACAATCTAGTATCACAGCAAGTCCCTGAACATACCCTCTCAACAGAAATGATTGAAAGTGCTGACGAGTCTTTATAGTTAAATTACTTTCTTTGGTCAATTCATCTTCAGCGCAGAAAATTATATAGAAAGCTGTGGTGTAATGAATATAAATTGGAACAGGTTATTTTAATGACCCTTCTCTCGAGAAAAACCCAATACTGAAAGAGGTAAAATGAAAATATTAGTTTAATTAATCAATGACTCTCTATTTACCTAATTGATTACTGATATTATGAGGTTAAGGATCTTTTTTTAATTATTGCAAAGTAAATAGATGTGCCGACTTTAGTAATTTCGATCATTACATCGTTAATGGAAGTTTGAAGCACATGTTCTATAAAAACACAGTTCTAATCAGACATATCACGGGCTTGTTTTTAATGTAAGCATTTGTCCATGAAATGGACTTTCAACAATACACACTTTCTCGACCAGAAATATAATACACAATCAAACAAATAAATTAAGAGATAGTTCATTAAATGTCATTTGAAGACAATTACTTTAATAAATGTCCTATAAGAATTTACCTTTATTTACATGAGCGAAAACTAATGAATTTCGATTGACTAAGATCAAAATTACAATAACTTTGTTAAAACGTTGTTGTTTAATTTGACTCATACTATTATTATAGAAATATTTTAAATGAATTAGTAAACTAAATTTTATATATGTAACGGTGATGTTGAGTTACCTATAGTTAACTATCTAGAGGCTTTTAAGAATTCTTTTCAGATTTAAGGGTACATGTATTCAACACAGACAATAAAATGATGATGATTGGATTGATATATTTTTATGAATTTGATTTGAAAAGATAGAAATAATGAATCTCTAAAATATGAAGGAATCGTAAGTTCTGTTTGGAATATGGGATTTTGTTTCGCTTTTTATAAATTTCTTTTAAAAAAATTGCATACATTTTAATCATATGAAAAAATCTTATACAAATATGCTAATGACTGATATTTATCATTCAGATGGCCAATTAAGATATAAGTCTATGAGAAATATTTCTTTTTCATAAGTTTTTTTTTATGCGTAAGAGTTCATATATGTCAGAAAACAAATTATATTAATAACCCTAAACTTTGTAAAACTGTTCCATTCAATCCAACTGATAGGTTCCTGAAAACTTTGAAAAAATATTAATTAGTAATTTTTTTTTCAGAGTTTTTCTTAGTTCAAATGTCATACTTATAGTAATCATCAACTTTTGAAAATACCATAACACTTCCATAGGGCAGAGTGATGAATTTATTTTTTTTTTCTTAATTTTATATTATCTTCTATATTGAAACCGATATTTAAAAAGCCTGATTTATTGTAAATAACCATAGTTGAACATTGTAAGCAATATGAAAGCACTGTGAAATAAATTAGTCGGTGAATAGCATACATGTACTTTGATTTACTTAAATAAATACGAGGTTTCCATTAATGAACGTATTTTTTTTAATTAATTCTAGTAAACACTTTGATGTTTTAATGTAATAAAGATGTATTCTTTGAATTTCGTTATCAAGGAAGGATATGGAGATAACAAACAACATTCAATATCAAAGTCAATAAAGCAATACAAAATAGGGGTAGAGCAAACACAGACCCCCCGAACATCAGAGGTGGGATCAGGTCAAAGATTTTACTATCATATTAATTTTTATTTTCTTTTTTTATTGGATTAAAAGTTACTGGAGTATTATTTCGTCAGAGTTTTATTTTATTTATTTTTTTGAAAATTAATATCATTTATATAAACTTTATGCATAGAGATGCAGTTATATTAACATATTTTCAAAAATATATATAAATATTGAGAAAGCAAAACACATTTAGGCTCAAAAATCTCTTTATTACTGTAAATCAGAAAAGTAGAAAAAAAAGCATGGACCTCTGCAACATTATTGATGGGGTTAGGTGTTTTGAAGGAATGCGTTAGTCACATCCGCCTTGTGCTTCTTGTCATTATCGAAAAAAAATAACGGGTAAGTCAATCGACAATCGATCGTGTAAATAGCAGCCTAATAATTAGTCTGAAGGATGTCAGTTTGCATTTGATTTAACTATAACTTGTATTTGCTGACAAGATTGAATATCGGCAACATTTCCGTATCATATTTAATTCATACTTATTTTATTGTGCTTGTGAGCAATTAATTGATATGCTTTATTTCAATTTAAAGTTAAGTAGAACTGAGTGAAGCAATCTGACACAATTTTTGGAATCTGTGTAAACAAGGCCAGAAGGCATAGTATTTCTTCTAAAACAAGAAATAATCATCGTTAAAATGGCTTGAAACTTAATATTTTTTTATCTAATGATTTGACTATCATGATAGAATAGTTTATATTGCATGATTTGAATTTATTAATCACCAATTACCTCTATTAGTTTGTAAAGTATGAGTCAATTCTAATATCTTAATACATTCATTTACATCCATACAATATTACCTTCTTTTTAAATTCCGCTTGAAGATATTTTTTCTGCATAGGTAAAACATGATTTTTTTTTTAATAACATAACAACCAGAGAAAACATTTCACCTTTTCAAATCATGCACAAAAGCAGCATTTGGCATTTGAATCTTCACATGCATTTTATCTGGTTCACGTCAATATCCTATTTTTCTTTAACTAGTTTCATTACAGTCCTCTTTGTAAAACTTGATTGAATAAATTACATGGAAATAACGAAAAATATTCAAGTTCAAAGTCCATTAAACAAAAGAAAAATTGAAGCAGAGCAAACGTTGACCTCCAAAAAAAATCAAATGTGGGATCAGGTGCCAAGGGGCATTGAACATCCTCGACGACAATGACATCCACCTTGTGAATCTATGTTCAATAGATTTTTTTTTGGTTAACTTAAGGAACCTATGTGTCAAATAATAGAGATTACGTGTGTAAACAAGATAACGTTGAACAAAATGTAAAAAGTTTTGGAAGGTTCCGTCCGAAAGTGTTGAATAATTGTTTCTTTGATAGTAAAGTAGGAGTCTAGCAGCACTTTTGATGGTACAGAGATGTGTTTACATAACTATTACTAGTATTACAAATGGAATCTAATTATCCCCGGGGTAGTGTTGAATTTTTTTCATTAAGGCATATTTTCTAATTATAGATGCCGCGTGATGACGTCGTGGTGTAGTGCTTTCTGTTGTATAAGTCCCATTGAAGTCTATAATATGCATAATGATAGCAAAAGTTGTATCCATGACTTTTTCGATTTATGTTACATATTATGAAAAAAGTGGTAAATCGCCGAAACCTTTTCCATGTGCTGCCTTAACAAACCCGCGTATGAGGATTGTAAAATAAAGACCTCAATGGCTCATTCTAAGTGTTTGTTGAATGCTGATAAACATATTACACAATTGTTCTGATAAATACTTCATTTATTTGTTTGGTTTGTAGACTTTTGAGATCGATACCAAGGAGAGATTCTACACTTGTGCAATACAGTTAAGGCTACACGGCTATAATGTCAGACAAATACCTTTGGTCTTCAAATACCAACAAAATTAAAGGAAATTATTTCGTATTTTAAACTATTGGATAGCTCTAAACAGAGTAGATTTGAACAATACAATTTTCTGATATCGGTAGAGGGAATAACTGCTTGGGTAAAGAAAAAATAGTCCATATTTCCATTTGTGGCCCGAACTAGTACTTTACTGCGTGGCAATCATCACATAAAAATATGAAGTATTCAAAGTCCATTATTTTTTTTAATACCACAATTCCACAGAACGTTGGGCATACACGAATTCAATAAATATGTTTAACCAAAAAATTTATAATGACTGCAGTTTATAAAATAATGTTACATACAGAGAGACGTTTAAATACACCATCATATTTCTTCAACATTGATTGTTTTTCCCATCACTGCATCAACAGAGTCATCTTACATAGAAACAAACCATTCATATTAATTATATCTTTTTGTTTATTTTGAATATCTAACTCGCTGTTCGCTTTCGATCTTAGTGTATCCTCGGCGTCTGAAGAGAGGACCAGTCCAATTACAATGTTTGATGACGATAAACAGGGACAAGAGAAGGAAACTGAAGAGGAAAAACATCATGAATACCACCATTACAACATACGACATGTAGTGTATTTTCAAGACATGATCATCATCAGTGTCATGAAGAATCTCTTCAGGTCCTTTGGTGGTGATATCAGGAACAGCTGAAATTGAGATTAAAGTGGGTTTTCATTATCATTTCCTAGGTTGAAAAAATATCGTCATTGAATGCGAATTTTTAGGAAATTAGACGTGAATTACCAGGCAGCTGTAGGAAATTGTCGTCATTTTCTCTTTCAGATTTGGATTTCTTCTTCGAGTGTGACTTTGAGGAAGATTTAGATTTGGATTCCGCTTTGAAATTCCAACATCTTGGAAAATGTGGGGGAGGTTTTGGCATCTCGTGTGGCTCCCCAATTTGTATAACTACGTCCATCCCCAGACTCATGTGGTCATCAAGGTGACAGTGCATGAACCAAAATCCTACAGAATAGGTATAATTCTACATATGACAGTGCATGAATTAAAATCCTACAAAAAGGCTTAATCCTACATATATGACAGTGCATAAACTTAAGTCCTACAAAAATGGCATAGTTCTACATATGACAGTGCATGAACTAAAATCAAAATGTTAATCTTCAAATTACAGTCCCTGAACAGTAACTCTTTATAGGAAGTTATCCTTAATATTACAGTTTATGAACCAAATGTTCCCAATGTCGGTATTCTACATATGCATGTGCATGGACCAAAATTCTTCAATAAGATGAGCATTCTTAATATGCCTCGAAAAATCCAAATACATGAATCTACACTTTAAGCACGCAACTAAGCTATAAATTAGAATCCTACAAAATAAATTTATTATAGAATTACACAATGAATGAAGTTGCAAAAAAAAAAAACATTGAAGTACCGGGGTTATTTGTTTGTAGTCTGACAACAACATAGCCCCTAAATGGCACCACCACCGTGTCTTTGTGGGGCGGATCCACAATGTTTATATCAGGAACGTTACCAAACTCCCAGCTAGAATTCCTCCATTTTGCTTTACTGTAGTTATTGAAATACTCTATGTCTTGGTTTTCCTTTTCAATTAGTCCTGTTGTTTTGTTAATAACTGGAAGACCGTACTTTATGACGTGGAAACGATTTCCGTGAAGATGTATAGGGTGAGCTGAACCTCTGGTAACATTAACTGAAAGCACCATTTAAAAATAAATTAAAGTTTGAACACAAAAAACGATAAACCTTATTGGTGGTATTTTTTTAATAAAACTATAAAATTAGCATATCTGTTCTGGTACTCTTACTCGTAATTTTTGCAGAAAAGTAATTCTTTTTTTTTTCGCAGACAAATATAATTTCATGAACGACGTTGACAATAAAAGCAAGCAATAATAATTGTTTTGTTTAAAAATCAATTAAAATTTGTTTTTTAAAAAAGGTATAAATACGAAGGTTGTCCGTAAAGTTCGTGGACAACATTGATAATTACTGACAAACATTGATAAAATATATGAAACTATTATTTTCACTAAATTCATGTTTTATTTTATTAAAATGCAAGTTTTCAACAAAAACAAAGCACAAATAGTCATATTTTTATCAGATACAAAAAAGAAACACACTCATACCCGGAGCACTAAAATGAAAATCTTTGACGTTACCTGACGTCAAAAGCTTAATACGAGTACATATAACTTTTTTCAACATAGTCTCCATTCAACTCAGTACATTTCTTATTTGCTTTAACCAGTCCTAAAAATGTGCACAAAATGTTCAGTTTTCATACGTAAAATAATATTTAACAATGCCTGACTTATTACCTGAAATCATCCTACCCCTGTCCGCGTAAAACCGACTTTATTTAAGGAAATACAGCAAAATTAGCTGCAATAATGTAGCCCTCTCCGATTTTTTTATCTGATGTTTTCTGGAAAGGGCTACAATTCCATCGCATCTCCGTAATGGTGCAAATATATTTTTTAAATACGGGCGATTGAAGGCAAAACAAATTATTTTCACATTCAACTTACTTCTTATAAGACGGAATTTTTATTCACTGTCAACAACAAAGCCCGCTAAACTCGAAATTTAAAGCCATGTAAAATACATCTGCATGTTTACCAGCAGGAGCCATGACATTTCACGCATGACGTACTGAGACTTTCGCTTGAAATTTAGAACAACTAAAACAAGCAAATGTCAATGTTTATAAACGACTGTGCTGAAATGTATCGCAAAAATATCGATAAATAAAACCATATCAAGTGTTATTTTTACGCAAACAGCAATATATATGCTAAAGATAAGGGAATTCCTAAAAGATCCGCTCCTATAGATTCTAAATTCTCATTGGCTGTCCTAAAATAAAATCATTCAAGGTCAGTAAACATGGCGGATAAATTCAAGTTGTGATGTTGACATACACGAAAAATAACCGATATATGGGTCGTTGAGAATATTTTTGGATTGATTTATGTCTTGCATAATTATTTTTTGGAGTCCAGTTAAGAGATGTTTATTGAATAGCCGTTTACTGATGATTTGAGCCAAAATCCATGCGGGAGCGATTCACTGCCGCATTTGCACCATTATGGAGATCCTAAGGAGTTGTAGCCCTCTCCCAAAAAAAAAAATCGGAGAGGGCTACATTATTGCAGCTACAGCAAAATCGTTACTAAATTAACTTATTACAGCATTGCAATCTCGGAATGATGGTCTTCCTTCACGCATGTCATCCTGTAAACTGTTCTTTCCGTCTGAAAATTTTATTTTCAACTAAATACTTAAGAACGACTTTCTACACTATATTTTCCCGACTGTTTACAGCATTTCAGGGTCTCTGTTGGTGTTTTCCCGACGTCTACGCAGAATTTTATTACTGCTCACTGCTCCGCCTATTTCAAAAAACGTCCCTTTTTCGAATAAAGCCGATCCTGTCCTAATAGATTCTAATCTCGATTTCTCAGCCATTTTTGAACTCTGAATGTTCAAATTTTGCAGATTTGTAGTTATAACTTTTGTCAACCTCAGAATGTAAAAGCAATCCGAATTTCCGCAGAATTTTACAAAATACAAATGAAATTTATAAAGTGATAAATAACTTTTTAATTAAAATCTTGTGGTGCTCCGGGTCACCATCCCAAGTCTAATAAAGAAGCCATTATTATAATTATTTATTTGAAATTGAAAATAATTTTACATTTTGTAATTGAGATTTAGTAAAGGGTTATAGATATGCTAATAATGAATATCAAGGAAACCATCTTTCTTAAAATTTGAACTTGTCCACGAACTTTACGGACAACCCTCGTAAGAACATAAATCTAGAGGCCCATAGGACTCAAAACGCTCAGCTAAGTATCTATGATCCCTCTGTTTCTCAATCTTCAGATTATTCTTTAAGAACATTCATCATATAGTACATGTATGACAATACCGTACCCTAGTGGGTTATGTTTTGGAAAAAATAAATCAATTAACAACATTTAATTCTGTCAAGAGTGTTTATTTACATTCCAATGGAAAACTTGGATTAACTATCGTTACTCCAACTTACACCCGGGTCGTGATTTTAACAAACGAAATGTACAATATGCAATATTGTAAATTTGACTAATCATTATTCCTAGGAAAAAAATCTATGATGAAAGTTACTAAATTTCCTTTGTAAAACGTTGACTCCCCTTCTCTTAATTTTTGCCCATCCCCAAACAAATGTGCCGTTATTTTAACAAATTTTTATACTACCTACTACAATGTACATAATCCAAAGAACTATGAATACATGTAATAATGCTTTTGCTGTTCTATTGATGAAGAATTTTTATATGCTAAACTTCGATTTCCTTCCTTTATCCTGCCTATCCTCTCAGGGTCATGTTCTAAAATAAGTAATTATAAAGTCTGAAATTAAACTTTTATATGTTTATTTTTTGCTGGCCCGGTAGGTTTTCAAAAGATTCTTATCAACCACATAATTATCTCTCATTGAAAAATAAACATGGCTCTTTCGATCTGATAGAAAACTTGAATTTCTCTTATCCAGTAATGCTGTTAATGTTCTGATTGAAATCGGCCTGCGGTTTTGGTTTAAAACTGAAGATATATACTTATCGATAAGAAAGCTCACTTGAGCATTTCAGCTCAATTGTAGTTAAAAGCAAAATAAAAAAAAAAAGAAGAAGAAGAAAACAAAACAAAATAATTTCAGAAGCACATCCATTGAATAAAAAAATATGGAGATAACGAACAGTATTCATTTGAATGAAAAAATCAAAATGGACTTCATAATTGATAATTATCCCTCTTACCCTCAGCCGTAAATACAAGTTGCGCTGTTTTCCACGCATCCAGTTTGACAACGTGAGTACACCGGCAGTACTCCCCACATTTATCCATGTAATCGTTATTACATACAATGCTGCTGTCTTCTACAAGGTCGGGAAATACCTACAAGAATAGATTAACATGAATGGAAATGGTAAAGAATTTAATTTGTAAAATATAAACAGTTATGCTTTTTGAAAGTTTCCTGTGGAACAGTTTCGTACTATTTTTCTGATATTCACCGAAACTGCTTTTAGAGAAATAAAGATTGGGTCAAACTAATATCAACAAATTGGTTTTTTTAAAGAAAAATGTGTCTTGAAAAAAAAATCTTATATAAAAAATAAGGAATTAAAACGTACCTGAAGTGGCATTGGTGGACTTTTGTAATGAATTGTGTTTACTGCCGGACGACGACGCATCATGTCAGTCCCTAAACATGAGAATATTCAAAATTTATAATGTAAATGGATATGTCCAATGATATCACATGAAAAATTTGCTGAATATTCTGAGGTTGATTACTTGATAAATGCGTAACCTCTGAAATTAAAGTTGAGGAATATCTCCTGAAAATCGTCACGTGAAGTGGGGACGTCAACAGGATATGTATCTCTTTGTTGTGACGATGCCCTTAAATCCGCTACTGATAGACATTTCGTGTATGGGGCCCACTTAGCCATCGATATAATACTACAAATCAGTGTTCAAATCATGTAATAATAAAACTGTACTTGATACGGCTAGAACTTAAACTATCTCAAATTAGTTGACAACTGTCATCATTTTTCACAACGTCTTTTTTTTTATTTCTCATATGGAAAGATAATGGGTATTTGATAAAACTATACTTTGCATGGTATAAACTTTGTCTATTTTTTTTTTTTTGCCCCTCCATTTGTCCTGTAGCAGCTTTATAATATCTTAAAAGTGGGTGGCCTTTTTTCAAGCCATAAAATAAAACTACTTAAATAAATATGATGTTTAAAATAGATTAAACTGCTTTCAAGAATTAGATTTTTATTTAGGAAATTTTCAGGAATTTTGTAGAGAAAAATACGGTTACCATTTGAAAATATTAAACTTTTTTCTGTATGATAAGATTTATCATATAGTGAAAACTTGTGATCACAATAAGATAACACGATCGTTTGTTGAGCATTGACCTCACAAAAATCATGCTCTAATGATTACACTTTTTGTTGGGTGATGACGTCACAATATACATGTACCTCCAGTGGCAATTGGTCATAACACAAGGCTCCCTCTCTGAGCATTCCCTCTCGTCTGTGTCAGGTAGTTCATCTTCTGCTTCATTGTAATGAAGCTGTGCAAAGCTTACATTGGGTTTCACTGGATTCTGACAAATAAAGATACATATATCACCATATACAGTACTACAAAACAATAGCAGACGTGAAAATGTGTAAGTGTACTTGGACTTACATTTTTACCTCGTATTCAATTTTTACATTAATTTTAAAACATTGCAAAAATAGGAAATTTCCACGTGACGTCACAAACACCAATCCCGCTTTTTCAAGCAAACAAGATTGCTGTTGTAAACTTTCGAACATAAATTTCTATTCACATACAAAGATAAGAGTGAGTACTATGTGGATTTTTTTAAAATCTAAAACCCTAACCGTATCATGCGTTTGTTCTTAAAGGAATTACTTACATGATTGTAATCCATAACCTCTACCGTCTCTACACGTATCCAGTAGTTTCCAGGAGTGTTATTAGCGTATAAAATGACGTCATAGCTTTCCCCGGGACTAATGAGGAGGAAGTCAATATAAATTGGGTCAAGGTCACCGCCGTCTGTATCGGTCAGTAGAAGCTTGTGCTGTAAATATTTTAAACCGCACAATGTAAATCTTAATTAAAGTATTTTCAATAATAAATGCATATTTTTTAATGCAGCTTTTATGTATACTTTTCTTGTGTTGTACAAAGTAAATTTTAATTTCAGAATTCTTTTCACTAATAGGTAAATATTTATTTTCATGCAATTTTTTTTTTATTATTTAACTATATCCTAAATAAAGGGAAAAAAAATCGAAGAAGAAAAGTATCATACGCAAAGGTAACAATTTGGATATATTTTAAAAGTTGCTGGGAAATATTCATACTACAGGAATCATCAATGCATGTTGAGAGGTGGAATAAATCATTCGACCGTTGCTTTTTAAAAATTAACCTCATCAATGGAAATTTTGTACTCTCCAGTCATCCCTGAGTTAATTACTCGGAATCTGGTGTAACTGTTAGAGGCGACATTAAATTTCTCCAGTGGGATAGAACGCTGTAGCTCTGAACTGTCACCTGAAACTGAAATATAAAGGTTTTTTGTTGAATTTTTTTATCATATTATAATAATGTCTCAATTGTCCGTTTCTAAATATATTTAGCTAGTTATAATCAGACACTAAAAACATCAAGGTTGTTCCTGATACATATACATTTTTGTGTTTAATTTAAATAATTGCCTCGCCCTCTATCACGTTTTCTTACCGTCCTCCAAATATCATTTATATTTCAAAACAGTTACAGTTAATTTATTGTTTCCCGTTCACCAGGGCGTTATTATTACGCATTGTCAAATAAAATCATCTTGTTCATTTATCAATGTCTTTATACGTGCACTATCTCGTGTTTTTGTTTATTTCATTATTTTATACGTACATATTTCATTTTCCGTTTGTATCATTGTCTCTTTATTTATTTTCAAATTTTCAGTTTTCCCTTTTTATTGTTTCTTATAATACGTACAGTATTTTGAGGGTTTTTTGTTTATATCATTGTTTTTAGACATACAACGTTTTTTTTTTTCGTTTATGTGATTGCTTTATACGTACAATGTTCTCAAGTAATTTCACGGTGTGTAAATATCTTTATACGTACAATATTTCGTTTTTCCGTTCACCAGGGCGTTATTGTACGGCATAGCCAGGCTTGAGATAGACCCGTCATAGGTCAGCTTGTTCATAAGACAATCATTGGTATCCATGTTCTTTACAAACCTAAGATTAAAATTCAACATTGTGAATACTTTTGAATACTCGTTTTTATTGTGAAGAACAATTAGAAAAAGCAATAGAATCATTAATAAATACATCCTTTCCATGAAAATTCATTTTGTTGCCTTTTAACTTTCTTTTTCTCTCTTGCAGTTTTATTTTAAATGCAAAAAAATTATTTATAAATAAACCATTCTCCCAAAAACTCAATGTTTGTTGGCTTTTGTTTTCTTTTTCTCTCTAGATCTGGCAGGTTTATTTCAAATGCAAAATAATAATTAATTAATACACCCTTTCCATAAAAATTCAATTTTATTGTCTGTTTACTTTCTTTTTTCTTTCAGGCATATTTGAAGGTTTATTTGATCTCTCCCTTTCTCTCTCTCTTCTCTCTCTCTCTCTTCCTCTCTCTCTCTCTCTTTCTCTCTCTCTCTCTCTCTCTCTCTCTACTTACGGTAACATGTACCACTCCTGATATTTAACAAGCTGGATATCACTCTCTGGGTAAGACCAGTCTTGCACCACAAAAACATAGTCTTTATCGGGTTTTGGAACGTCATTTCTCTGTGGTACATAAATAAATAACAAGATATTTGCTTACTCGGAAATAAGTTTGCTTTCTTAATGATTCATATAATCTTGATTAAATCGAGAACATACTAACTTATCAATATAAGTTAACTTGATTTTTTTAATTGTCTGTAAGTTGGATTGATTGTATACTGTTTAATGTCCCTCTCCAGAATATTTCACTGATATGGAGACGTCATCATTGCCGGTGAAGGGCTGCAAATTTAGGCCTATGTGTTACTTAGATTGCAGGGAGGGAATCGTTAACAACTGTTGTGACACAGAGTCTCAGAGGTAACCATTTTGCTTTTACGACAAGCAGTTGTAATATGTTACCACGGGGCTCTGTAAGTTGGATATCATTAGATACGTTTGTTCTTCTCAGTAAATACATTCAGTTGGATTGATTAATGTGTTCAGATTGAAAAAGTTACAGAGGTAACCTTGCTTTTACAGTTGTAATTTGTTACATAGGATATTTTCCTCAGTATGACCTGATGACTGATTCAGTTCAGTAATTGCAGTGAATTAGTTTTGTTGGAATAGGCTACATTAGTAAAGATTTGGCTACAAAGTTTTTATATTGGATTAGGCTACAGAGGAGAATTGGTTGAGATGAAACAGCAAGACTGGTGGATTTGTTCAACTAGATTTGGCATTTTTGGAGGTTGTTTAGTTTAATTGAGCTACGAAATGGCTTCTTGTTCAGTTGTTTTAGACGCCATTGCTTTCGTTTCTCAATGTGCTTTAACTACATACTAACACTCAAATGGGTAAGAATGATATTAACTTGATTAAGTACCTCATTTCCTTTACGAGGAAGAACAATAAAAGCACCTGCAAGGCCCATCGACCTCATAACACCGTGGTGAGCATGATACCAATGTGTGCCCTTGGGATTAGCTGTGAACCTTAAATAAATCAAATCATGTTCCATGTATAGATCATGAATTTTATCCCTCACTGTATTTTTGAGATCAATCACAATATTCATCACACTAGAATAGAACGGAAAAGGTCTGAGAAGGGCAGAGCAACGAATTGCAAGAGCACAAAGACATTTTTATATGCCATTTTCTTAAATATTAGTGGTCTTGTTGTTCGAAATCTTATTTGGGGAGGCAGTTCCATTCAAAAGCTCATTTATTCTAAAAAGGGCATCTTTGTAACATTAGAAACATAATTTCTTTGAAATAATGATATACTATACAATTCAGATATTTTCTAAGGGTTAAATGTTCAACATGACAGTAAAACTCTCTCATGCAATGTTTGTATGACTTAACTTAAAAAAATAATTTATATGCAACTACACTTAGTCTCTGGCAGGGCCAATCATTGATTGTTCAATTGGAATACTTACAAATACGTAAACATCTGCCCGGGAAGTATCGGGCATTGTGTAACCATGGAGACGCCATCCATATAGACAGAACCATTCTGGGACATTCCATGCCAGTGAAAGGTAACGCCCTCGTTCGCAAGATCATTGTAAACATGAATTTTTACCTGAGAACAAAATTCCGGGACTAAATTTCACAGTTTATTCTTTCATCGCACGATCTATTAAAAATATATGAATTCTGCTTGACATATTTTGTTGTCGTTAATGTTTAAAATTCAAATCTATTTCAACCAGTTCAGTATCAATTAATTAGACTTTCCACAACTACCTATTTCTAAATTTAGAAAATATGATTGTTAAGGAACCAAAAAGGGTAAATTTTAAAAAGAAGAACATTTGATTTTAAAGATAGAAAAAATTTTTATAGCTTTTATAACAGAAGTTGCCTATTCTGCTTTCAACAATAATACCTGAAATAAGCATATTTATTTTTATTATTTTTTTCGATTTGTTTTATGCGCCTCCTGTTTACTCACTCTTTGATTTTCATAAACAGAAATTGTTGGACCCGGAAACTGATTGTTAATGGCAAACATGAGTCTGTAGTTCCCGTCAGCTGTAACAACTTCCTCCATCTCTAGCGATAAAATGTTAAATAAAAAATAAAAATGACACAAAAAGAATCATACTGTAGAATAATCTATGTAACCAAGTCAGGATCTTCGTGAATACCCATTCTCTTTTAGGGTATACGTGTATTAACTTTTGTATTGAAAGTTACCTCCAAGAAATTGTCACCTTTCAATACAAAATGTTTGTCAAAACATTAATACGCCTTTCCTATTTATTTTAATGGCGTTTTTTTCTCTCTTTAGAATCCTATGATTTTAAAACGAACGAGGAGAAAAAGACAAATAAAAGAAATCCATTTAGTCACCTATCATTTCTAGAGGACAGTGAGAATTAATTTCCTTGTATTTTTTAACGTACGCCAAATGCTATAATGAGCCTTACTTTTAAGCCATTCTGAGAAAAAAATGCTTAAAACATTAGGAGTATGAAAAAAAAAATTAATTAGGATAAATTTCATCAAAATAACTTACATGTAATCATATTCTTACTAGGTCTGTTTTCTGAATGTGTATTTATTTGTTGATAGAAATTACGTAAAAGGAACATACATTACATGCAGTAAAATGCACATCTAAATAGGACTTTCTTTATAGTACAATATTAGAAAATTTATTATACCATGGCCGAAGAACTGGGGGGAGTGCACGGGGGGATGCTTAAAACATTAGGATTATGGACAAAATTCAATTAGGATAAATTTCATCAAAATAACTTACATGTAATCATATTCTTACAAGGTCTGTTTTCAGAATGTGAATTTATTTGTTTAAAGAAATTACGTAAAAGGAACATACATTACATGCAGTAAAATGCACATCTAAATAGGACTTTCTTTATAGTACAATATTAGAAAATTTATTATACCATGGCCGAAGAACCGGGGGGAGTGCACGGGGGGATGCTTAAAACATTAGGATTATGGACAAAAATCAATTAGGATAAATGTCATCAAAATAACTTACATGTAATCATATTCTTACTAGGTCTGTTTTCAGAATGTGAATTTATTTGTTTAAAGAAATTACGTAAAAGGAACATACATTACATGCAGTAAAATGCACATCTAATAGGACTTTCTTTATAGTACAATATTAGAAAATTTATTATACCATGGCCGAAGAACCGGGGGGAGTGCACGGGGGGATGTTCCCTAATTCTTTTGCCGATATATAGAAAACTATAGAAACAAAGCTAGTTTATGCTTATACCGCCTAAAATATACGTCTTTTGACCTGTTTTTCGCTTGTCAAAAAATGCCTGGTATGCATGACAGCACCCACCACTAACTGAGATTGCTTCCTACGGGTCTGTATTTAATAATACTGCAATATAGTTTATTGGTCATTTTGTTGGTCTGCAAATTTTGAAATTAGTGAACAGTAAAAAAATGAAGACATTGGCGTCGGAAGCAAATTGAAAGTGGGGGGGGGGCTAAGTGTATAAAAAAAAAATTTTATACCTTCCAAAAAAACTTGACAAGCAAAAAAAAAGAAAAAAAGAAAAAGACGAAAATCCTATTTCGTGGGGGGGGGGGGGGGGGTGTTAGGTTCGAACTTCAGTATTGAAATTTTTTCCCCAAACTTCACTACTTTTTCATTACTTTACCCATTTCTAACCTATACTGCGACGTGTTTGTGGAAAGTGGGGGGGGGGGCTAAACCTACTACGCAATGTTCAATGCCTATACTAAGTATATATTTGGGAAAAAAAGTGGGGGGGGGATGACCCCCCCCTAGCTTCCCCCCCCCCGGTTCCGACGCCTATGGAACAGATATCATCATTATTTTTATTTGAATGTTAATATCTAAAAAAGTTTAAAAATGATTTGGTTGGAAGGTGGGTACTTTTTCTACAGATAATTTCATCATTAATGCCGAATTATCAAAATGTATAAAAATGTCTTCTTGATGTTCGCAAAAAAAAATGTCCACTTTCAGGCAGATTGTCAGGTGAAGGCAATCAACATATATCAATTCATTAAGTTTGTCTTACCTTCCGAGGTAACCGGCATTTCTTCACAAAAATAGGCCACTCCATGTTCGGCATCTGAAGTCTTCTTCATGAACGTTCCATTTCTGAGAAAGACTGGGTTCCCTTCGTCAATTGTCCAGTTATAGGACACCATGGTCATTATGTAGTTCACTCGAAAGTTAAAGGTGCATTCCTCGGCGGACTCCGGACAACTGGGTGTGACGTCATGTTTAAAAGCAGACTCAACGCAACAGATTGTAATAAGTAGGTGAAACGTATATAGAAGCTGTCTACAGACAAACATCCTAGCAGTATAGAATAAACGAAATGCTACGAGTGCGCTGTAAAAGTGACCCCCTTCATCAGCAATATTAAAGTAAAATGGGCTTTTGACATAGCGAATAAAGTGTACGTGTGAATTCACTTTAACAATAAAGGTATACATATATATATTATATTAGGCCGGAATAATTACTCACTTTTCCTATAATACCCCAATTGTTTTCTGTCCACGTTCTCAGTTCATACATAAAATCATTAAACATCCCACTCTTTATTGTTTTTAACGAACTTTGATTCTGCGTCATATTGAAGATCAAATATTTGATTCCAATATATGTTGAATATTTTGACTTCTATGCTTCAATTGCAACGATTTACATTGTTGAAACCGGAAAGCAATCAGATTCAATATAATTTGATTTTCTTTTATTTATTATATGAAAAAAGCCGATTGTCTAAAATAACTTCAAGTTGTACAAAATTTGAATTTTATATTAGGTCGATTGATGTGTTTTTGACACGACATTATGAAATATGATTAAGCAACACTGCTTATGTTTATGCACGATATAATATAATTTTTTATCCAAACAATTGGCGTAATCAAATCAATTCAGCATACAGTGTATGAGATAGATTTGATGCTTGTTTATTATGCCACGATATATATCATCAAATTTCGGCATGACTTTTATTTGTTCTCTACATTTTGTTATGAAATATGGGTTGATAACGAACAGATTATGATCTCCAAAGTCCACAGAACATTGCCAAAATCAAGATCAAAAGTCCATAAAACAAAACAAAATAGGAGCAGCGTAAACACAGACCTCCAAATCACCAGAAATTGGATCATGTACCATGAATGAGTAAGCATTCACAGCCGAGCGGTCACAACCGCCGTGTGTTCCTTGTCAAGTTCGGAAAAGAAAGAAAACAGTTAAAAAATCAATGGAAAAATCAGTGTGTGAATAACAGTCAGTATGAGAGAAAGTCAGTTAGTATTTAACTTATTTTTCTGTCAAACCCCTAAGTATTCAGTTAAAGCACTTCGAACTTAATTGATATAAATCATATTATCTTTAAGTTGTTCTTCTTGGACAAAATCAAATTTGAAAGCCTGGTGAAATCATTTGCGAATGTGTTCATTCTACATGTATATTTTAGAATTAACAAAAATAATTTCTATAAAATGTGTATTCCTTTTTTGTAAGGTTGTTACTACTTAACTCTAATATTTTCAAAATTAGATTTCAAAAGAATTGTTAAGCACGTGAGATTTATCATGGAAACGTTGAATTTAAGCTTTATCGAGGTTCATTATATGAACATAATAAATAATGTTAATTGAACTGTTTTGCACAAATATGTTTAAAGGTAGATATTTTCTCTTGCAAACACGGAAGTCATACTTAACAATGAAAGTGAGCTAATAGGAGGCCTTTCCTACTTTTCCTGTGAACCTTATTGTGAGTCAATGATCCTTGTTTGTTTGACTTCAATTTTTTCATGTCCTATATTATATATCTCTTTTATTGTTTTAACAACAATTTTTTTCTTTGTCAAAATGCTATAGTTTGATTTTTCATAAGATTTTGCATTTAGGGAAAAACATGTGAATTGCATTGTTTGACAATACACGTTTATAGAATTTCAATATTTATGTCATCTATAATGTAGATTTATTAAAACAAATGTAGATAAATTAAAGTTTTTTTTATAATGGACATTTATTGTTCAATGGAAATTTTCAAAATGTTTTTTTTTTTTTGTTTCACGGGCCTTCCACTCACTGTAACCGTGTTACGTGTGACTTTTATCGAGAAAAAATACTTTTCCTTCCAGTTTTATCTAGTTTGTGTACTGAAGATTTGTCTCACACTGCCTGTAAAAGAAATTAAAGTTCTAAAATACTGGGAGATAACGAACAGTATTTGAGCTCAAAAGTCTATAAAAATTACAAATTAGGATCAGAGCAAATTTAAACCACCAAACCATCCGAGGTGGGATCAGGTTTCATGGAGAGTGGAGGATCTCCTGCCAACCGGCCACTCCTGTCGTGTGCTCTTGGCTGTGTTCGAAAAAAAAACACACTAAAAATACATCGAAAACTCAGCCTGTAAAAAATTTTATATTGTAATTTTGGAAAAAATCAAACTTGAAAGAATATATAGTGAATTCTAATCCTTTGAGAATGTGTTCAATCTACAAAAATGATATTTTAGTATATGTAGTAACATATTATAATTTCTGTGAAAATTTGTTTCAAAACAATTTCAATTGGAGTTTTTCTTTTTTAAAGATGTTTTGTTTGTTTTGAACATATTTTACATATTACAGAAATGTATTGCTATCCATATTTTTTTTATTCTTGTCTGTAAGAATTTGGAAGACATTTTTTAAGATATGTCATGACCTCTATCTAAAAAATTCTACAGAAAGTTTTAGTTCTTACAGAATGTTTAGATTCTATCATGCTAATTTAATTTAATTTAATTTAATGCTATATTCAATGAAAACCCGACGATTAAATATCATACCGATAACATTTTATGAGGATCTATAGCTTACGGCTTAAGAATTTTTATAAGAAAAAAATATATAATTTTCTGCTTTCGATGTATTCATCATTGTTGAGTTTAGATTCCTATTCTTTACATGCAGCATAAAAAAAAGATTGATTTGTTGTTGTGAATGTTTATGCTGGTCCTAAATTATATATTGATTTAACACTCGTGAATTTTATTAACATATTTTGCAAACACTATCAAATTATCGAGAAAGTCTTTGAAAAAATAGCCCAATTTTACATTAATTTCAAATTCTTTTATTACTATAAGAATTTTATAAACCAGAAAAATTAGTTATCAATTTTTGAGTGCAGAAAGGTATAATAATTGACTTTGCGAAGTAATTTGAATCTATTTTTGATATTACAAATTTTAATGTGATAAAAAAAAGACCGTTTTCGATCCAATGATAATTTTTGGATAAAAAATATTAAAGGAAAAGCTTTGAAAAATGTTTTTACTGTGTTAAACGTGAATGTAGCGCAAAATGGCCATAGTAATTGCTCCATAGTGCTAAAATAAGCGCACTAACCCCCATGTTTTGTTTTGATTTTTATTAAGCTATGTGTGCAAAATACACTTCACAAAAAAATCTCAATACTTTTGATAACAAGAAACAATCTCTTTAAGCACGTGGCATGTGTCATAGAAACTTTTAATTAAATTTCCATACAATTTGATAATACGATCATAATAAATAAAGTTTGTAGTATTGTTAACATTTGACGTACACAAATATGTTTAAAGGTACACTGTATATTGTTTCTCTTGTCAACAGGGAAGTCATACTTAACAATGAAAGTGTACCAATAGTAGGTCTTTCCTTTTCTTCCTGTGAAATTCTGTGTGATCCATTGGCCCCTTGTTTATATGTCTTCTATCTGTCCATGTTCTATATTATATCTCTTTTCTTTTTTGTACAACAGTCTTTTCTTTGTTAAATACTATTTTAAATTTTTTATAGGATTTTGCATTTATTTCGGAAAAGACTTTTTTCGGAATAATAGACTGCAGTGTGTTAATTTATACATGTATACAGTGTAAACACAAAAATGCAAATCTAAAAGATAAAATATTTAAAATATGATAAAACACTTAATACTACTTTACTAAGTTGAGTAAACCTTTCTTTTTTTTTTTTTGTTATACAATATTTAAGACATATACATGTGATAAGGGTATATTGCTTTATAATTAAGTTTACAATTGAAAATTTAAATTCGATTTCATGAAGCTTTGTTTTTATATTACCAGGACGGTATTTTTTTTTTAGAAAAAATATCAATTTGTGAAATCAGAGATATGTCAGACTTTGTTGTATTTTATTTCAAGCTCACTGGGATATGTCATAACGATATATGACTGTAAATGATTAATGTGAACTGATGATACGTCGTCGATGTATTCTACTGTCGAGTGGATTGCCACAACAAACAATTTACTTTTCTTATCAATATGATTCCATTTGTTCAATTCTGTTGAACATTAATACAAAAATAGGTCTAGTTACAACAGTGTGCATACTGAGATATACAATTCCTCTGAAAGAAGCGTTCAGCGCATAAATTTAGAAAAAATAAAAGCAAAATGAGATAAATTATTGACAAACAAGTTGATGAAACAAGAATTTCAGCTGTCTCGTTTGAAGTCATTTTGTAGGTTATATGGTCGATACAATGAACTTCTATACAGCAAATACAATTTATCATTAAGTCAATTGCTGACTAACGTTTTTCAAACTTATTCTTAGTCCATTGTTTATACATTGAATTGACGACGGATTTTCTGTTATTTCCCGAGCATGACAAGGAGCACACGCTGGTGTGACCGGTCGGCAGGGGATGTTCATAAATTCCTCAGTGGCACTTAATCCCACCTCTGATGTTTTGGCGGTTCGTGTTTGCTCTGTTCCTATTTTGTATTCTTTTACAGACCTTTTAATCTTGAATACTGTTTATTACTCCATATGTTTCATAAAGCTTTAAACAAGGTAAATTATAGAAAAAACCTTAAAAGCATTTTATACTCATAACAATTGCATCTACTTCTACACAATACCCATGTTTTATAATACATGAATACTGAAAGGAATGTCTCGTTAATGCATCGGTCACAGCTCATATGTACATTTCATCAAACCTTTCCAGCGAGACAGTCCTAAGCTGGTCAAGAGTGGATATTCAGACACCTTATTACTTCATATTCCAGTTTGTCCGACGAGGTGAATTGTACGAATACACTCGGGTAGGTTTGTGTGATATTTTGCTGGAAAGAATTTATATAACTTGGCCAATTTTGGTTGGGGTAAACATAAGGATGAAATTGGTATAAAGCGCTCACTTGCGCGTTTGAGACGAACGTCTCCGTAAAATCAAAGCCATTTTTGAACTCCAATTTAGGTTTAAAGTAGCATTTG